ATCAACACAAAAACCACCCACACTTCGCAATCTTGACACACAAAAGGATCCCAGAAAACTAAGCAAATCAATACAAATCACCTGAGTCGTCCGACTTCAACAGCTCCAACCACTTGCGGTCTATTCCAAAGCAGACTACACAACCATTAGAAACACATTGGCGACACGTGACTGCGAATATCCCGGAGGGTAATCGGTCAGATGCAATTTTTCAATGTCATATCACCAGTCGGCAGTGTTTCAGGACGTGGTGGGACTTCGTCTGGCAAGCGTTTCCCTGCAAAAGTACACAAATATCTGTTTAACAACACTGCGACGTGGCGGTTATGAATCGCCAATCAATAAAGTAACCGCCCCAAGCAGATTTTGGCAATTTGACCTAGACCACAGTTACCAATTTTGTGCATATACCTGCTCTCGTACGAGTATGAACACATATCTGTTCAGTTACATGTTAGTATTCTTCATGCCTCCATGGGCGTGCCTCGCATAGTCGAGAATAAAGTATTTATTTATTTATTTGTATTTTTGCAGCTTTTTCCTCATGCTTCATTCACCGGACCCGCACTGTGTACAAAACCTCACCGGACTATTTCCTCATCAACCTTCTCCATATTGGTGATCTGCATCTGCATCTCTACATCTAGCATTCTGTGGACATAGACTTCGTACAACATTTGGGCTATGTGGGCCCACACCACTGACTTCATCTGTACTACTCCTGCTTTTTGGTGCTGCCAAGCATGCTATCATGTATAATATTGCAGTATACTGATTGCGCCCAAAAGGGGTGCCTCACGTTATGGAGAATAAACTATATAGTTAGTTAGTTATTTACTTGGCGCCACTATGATACAAAGGTTTTACTCACCTCACCACTGTGGTCTGCCGGTGATCTTATGCCTTGTATATAATATTGGCTGCGATCTTGACCAGAATATTGCTTTGGCCATTTCGGAGGCCATCGCAAGCCCCGTGATCGGTGTTTTCTACTAGTCTGAGCAATTGAAATCAAAACCATTTTACATCTGCCACACCCCACAAAAAGCTTTATTTTCCCGAAAAAGTACTACTTACCTGCAATGATTCTTCCTCTTGGACCCGTCTGCTAAGCCCACCCGGCCCGTGGGTTATCTATTTGGACGATTGTACTAGGTAGGAAATATCCGACCCTCATTACTCTGAGCTCTAGTCCGTCCAGTACCGCCGGTTCCAACCGTTAATGGTCTATCCTGCCTCAGCATTCCTCAGTCGATGGGAAAACGGTTGAACCATGACTGCGATTAGCCATGCGGAAAACTGATCTTAAAGTGGCATTGCCAACAGCGCATTGCTATTCCACTTGTGGTCAACAGCATTGTTTCAGAACTTGGTAGGTTTTTCTTGGAAAGCGATCTTCCTATAAAAAGCCACACATGTCTGTTTGTTTCTGTGGCTCCGACCATCACTCTAGCATGCCTGTATTGGTGTGTCACTTTTCATCGAGAATAAAACTATTTATTTATTTATTTATGGGCATCATCCATAAGGTAGACCATGCCCAGAGACTATCCACTGCACGCTGAATTGCCTAAGTACTCAGGGATAACCGCAATATTCCAGAGCCTAAGTTAGTTATCAAACGTTAGGGTTGACACTCCTTGCTACCCCGGTAAGATGTTTACATAGATGGCAAACAACAGTGGCTCCAATACCGAGCCCTGCGGGACACCAGTATGGAGAGGTAGCCTGACAGAATACTAGGCCCCACCCGCGCGCACCGTTCCTTCCCCTTAAGGAACGCAGGCACCCATTTAAGGACGCAACCAGATATCCCTTAAGAACACAACTTTAGTGAAAGCCGAAGATGAGAAACAGTGTCAAACGCTTTCCAAAAGTCTATGAATAGCACGTCTACAGCTTTGCCACTGTCTGCCGCTTCCGCCCAGCTTTCACGAGCTAAAAGTAGATTAGTCTGACACTAAAATCCTTTGCGGAATCCTTGGCGCGCAACACTGAGAAGGCTGAATCAATTCAGGCATTTCTCCACTAAATCCCTTAGCAGATTTTGAAACAACTTGACTACTACGCATATCAGCCTTACAAGTCGGAAGTTCTGGGGCAGAGCTCTGTCACAGTCCTTAAGAATCGGACAGATGATTGCTTCCTTCCATTCCGAAGGTAAGACGCGTTTGTCAAGCGATACTGAAAACATGCATTTGAGAGGACTATTCAGCTCAGTGGACAATTCATGCAACAGCTCCGGATGCATTGAATCAGGACAGAAATATTTAGAGGGATTAATGCCTTGCAGTAGCTCGAAGACCTATCTCCGTTAGGCTACACTCAGCTAAGCAAGTATCCTCCGGAATTTTTGAAACAATTCAACCAGCAAAGATCCCAGTATATTGAGCACTACACGTACAAGCCTTGTCATCATCATTTTGTGCAAGGGGTCCCGTCTGCTCGCAATAACGCTGGGATAGAGAGCTTTGCCCTGCTGCATGTTTTAATGTAAGCAAAAATTTCTTGGGGTTAGCTGCAGCTGAGTCTACTAAACCCTGCTCGTACTGGAGGCAGACAGTCTTGAGATCTCGCTTACATTTATTTCTAATCGCTCGATAACTAGCATATGTACTGCCTGATAGAGCGGCTTGTTCGGTTTACCAGCATCTAGACCGCTTCTTGTGTGGCTACTTGCTTGTCGGATCTATCCATGGAGGCTGTGCATGCAACCCTTTTACTTCATGACTGGAATTTAAGGAGCGGAAACCTTCGTAAGGAATTCCTTAATATTATCCCAAGCTAAATAGACAGAGTAGATCATCAAGATCTCAAGGTTAAGAACTGAAGCCTTAGCTCCAGGGAACTAAAGTCCGCCCGCCAAATATTCGAAAGTAGTTCAATAGCGGTCTCTTGGTGCCTTGAAAGAGCGCATCGAAAGCATTAGCATGCATGATCGCTGGAACGTCAGTCACAAAGTCAAGGGATTTAGTGAACTCCAGGTCTAAAGTAGATGATATTTGGCTGTCTATATACCTTGTGGGGAAGTCCACGGACTGGTGCAAAGGCCCTTGGAGAGTCAGCTCAAGGAAGTCGGCACCGTATGTTCCTGACGCCGAGTTGCCAAAAGTGATCGGCCCAGCAGACTTCCGAGGACTCAGTGCGAATGAAGTCAAGTATCCCGTTAGGAGAACTTCCTGGACTTCTGTATTTCACTACAACTGTAACCTAAGTAGTGGAAGTGCACAAAACAGCCGATAAGGCTTTAACAGTCTGATCTGATGAGTGGAATATGCAGGTCTTCAACACACCTAAGTTACAGCTCACCTATATTACAACGCCTCCACCTTGGCGACCAACGGAGCGATCATTTCTGAGCAGCGCGCAGCCAGGCAAACATACATAACCTTTTGAGATATACGGAGACAACCGCGTTCAAGTGGAAGCAAGTATGTCGGGACGAGATTGGGCTGCATGTAGATCCAACTCGTTCACTTGTTCCTTAGGCTACGCAGGTGGCTAAGTACTACCTCAAGGCAGTCAGCACGCCCATCCCTTGGTCGTGCGCCATCGGGATGGGTTCTGATGGGACGGAAAATAACTACGGCTGACCACCTGAAAACCCACAAGACGGAAGCATTGCTCACTAGCCACCCGTCTAGTTTTGAGGTCTTTGATAACTTCCGTTAAGTTCAATTTACCTGCCAGTGAATGAGCTGGCTAAAGGCAGGCACAACTACCCTTAAGTTTGAATGCAAAGCGCAGTAATCATTTACGTTCCGTCGAGGTGGAGAGGACCACGCGACGTACTAAAGGTCACAGATTGAACGTACGGATAAGGACGTTCCCCATTCTGGTCAGCTTACGGACAGTGACACCAGGGAAGCCTGGTGGAAGCAACTTGGTGGTGCACAGTTTGATCCACCTAATGGCAACCAAGATGCATTCCCTTAAGAAAGTAATGCAGATTCAGTAACGTTATGAAGTATAACCATACTATCCTTGAAAGATCCGGCAATACGGGGAGAGTTTACTTCACGTGCCTCGGATTCAACACTTATACCAGCAGTTTTCACCACTGGCGGTGGGACTGTCTCTGCATCCGGCGAACGTTGTGTAACAACAAACCAAAAGTTTTCCTTCCGTTGTACACTGAAGTGTTTAGACCACCTCTAGTAATGCGTTCAGACTTGGAAGCCAATTTTTGTGTAGCCACTCCATTTTCATTGAAGAGGTCCAAAACCTGACGAGTAGAAGGAACGATCATCAAAATGGAAAGACAAATAAAGGCCGTGTAGGAAGCTCAGGGTTGGTTCTGTGAAGAGACGCAGACTAAGAGGTGGCATAGGTTAAAAATTTGAAATTTTGAGGATCCTCAGTGGGATCAATCCCACATATTGTTTGAGCTGGCAGTGTCTAAGCACTTGTATGGACATCGGTTTAAGCTCAAACAACAGAGGTCACCATTGGATTTCAGGGGGAAATTTTTCACCAACCTTGTCGTGAGCATCTGCCATAGGCATCCTCCTGAGTTATTAGCATATGGAACTGTAGAAGTCTTCAAACGTGACCTGGATAAATGTTGGCCGAATCTTTACCTACATAACTGTAGCTTGTTTCAAACGTGAGTACCAAATTTCTCTAGTTCTCTATATACTATTTTCGGATTACTATGGTGTATCATTGTAACCTCGAAGTGCTGGGGGCTTGTTTCGCTTACCAGTGCAAGGAACGGGAAGTTCGTTAAGCGAAATCCTATGTCGTCCTCTGAAAACCACCTGACCATACATAGTATTCGTGGACGTAACCTCACCTTAGGAAATGCAAACCACATCAAGTAAAGAGCCGTACTGCATAGCCATCAACAATCAGCAGGTTTGCATGCGTTGCAACTATGTAAATGCTTTGCATTTCCACTTTTGTTTTACAAAGTCATTAATACCACGATATCAAGCACAAATTTCTGGAGGAGGATTTTTGAAGTAGCAGATGACCTTGGGTCTTGGGCGTGATGAGGCATGTGCTTCGGTGCTCTCTTGTTGTTTATGGTAGCCAGTAATCTATTCTTGTCAGATATCGCCTTTGCTGGTGAGTCAATTTATTTTTATGTGATTTATGTAAGATTGGACTTTGGCCTGCTACAACGAGCAGTTGAAACTTATCTGTGAAAACGGTGCAAAAATTATTGTACATGAGGCGCACTTTGGATACCTTCAACGGGATAGCGGTGGATTACTTATTAATAATTCTTGTGAAAGTGATTACATGGTTGAATGCTGGATGGATGTTACTGCCCCCGTATCAAGGCTCTGCTCTGGACTCGAGAGTTGTAGCTCATATGTACACTATTCCGTTGATCTCTCTCATGAGTCGTTCTCAAAAAAGTGCGCTGCAGGAGGAGAATTATCTTCTAAACCTTCTCTTCTCGTTGAGTCTGATTGTATATCTTCGAGTAAGTCCGACATTTATTAATGCTAACATAGAACACTGAATTTTCAACCGTATGAGTGACTAAACAGCAACTTATCTAAATTTATTATTCATGTATTTCAAATAATATAACTTTTATAAGTTGGCTCATTGCCGTCGAATTCCTTTGCACCACTGCCTACTTTGCTGACCTCATCACAGATAACCGGTCGCGATTCGCTCTGCATCATTTCTTAGTTACTTTAAGGTGTGCTGTTCCCTGTCTGCATTACTCTAAATTTGCGATATTCCCTGCGCATTGTTTTATTTTAACGTATTTGCATTTAGATAAGCTTTTCCAGTTCTGTTTGATCCCAAAAGTGGTATGCGGACTGAAGTTTTCGCGTTAAAACCTTATATTCATCGCACCTTTGTTCCTTCTGAATTCAAATGGTCTGCATTACTTTTACATGTGTCGAACCCTGTCTTGTTTATTGACCTACCCGTAGTCTAAAGAATTCTACGCCTGCCTTTTAATCCGGTGGTCGCCAGTTCGAGAATGCGCAGGGTACCGTATGACCCTCGCAGTATCCTTAGTGCATGCGCGACCGGTGGTGGTTGCGTAGCAGCAACGCGTCAGTCCTGCTTACTGGTGTACTGCTGATGCCTTTTTTGCTAGCTTATTTTTAATTATCTCAAATTCTTTGTAAATAAATTTTCGGCTACGACTGAGTTGATCTCCTTGGTTGATGGATTGAAGCTTCCAAACTAATAATTGTATCCATGCGCTGCCTATTTCCATCAGCTCACTGATTTATAAAATAAGTATCATGCTCGAAAAGTGCTGTATGATTGAACGGGCAGGATGGTTTAATTGTCCATGAACAATTCATGTAAGCACACGTATAGATGTGATTAACATTTGATAGCTTATGTGCAATTTGCACCACACCGGTACACGGCCAGATAGGGCATGTAAGTGCGACTGAAGGCGTACGAGTGCATGCCATGCATAAATAAATAAATAAGAGGTATATTCTTTGCCGGTGCGAAGCACGGTCTAGCTTATTGGTCTGGTCATTATGTACAATTTGATCCGCATGAGACGGCTAATATTTCTCTGTTTTTCAGAGCAGTTCCCAAACTATTTGGCGGGACTGCATGATCGGTTTCCTCTTTCAAATAGATGAATTGGTTGATAATGATAATAACTGCAGCCCAATGTAAATGCTCTAATTAAGTAATACGGCCAACCGTGAAATCATCTCCAGGGAACCTGTTTTCATATATACATATATATATATACATATATATATACATACATATATATATATATATATATATATATAATACCGGCAATGCTCTCTCAATCTTTCTGCCACACTGCGGTCTCCTTCGTATGCCTAGTCGTGACATACACATGGTCCAGCGCAGTGTTATGCCTGAGGTGCTCTCAATGGCCGAGAATTATGCAGAATTACCACGACGCTCAAACGCAGTGTTCCATGCATCCTGATGGATAGATGGTGCGAATCAAATTTATGCCAACATGCGTGGACCCACAAGGATACCAGTAGTGAGCCAGCCGGAAAGGAGGTAACGTTTGAGATTGCCGGTAAATTGTCGTTTATTGCGCACTTACTATTCGACATGCAAATGCTCGTAACATGGAAAGTTTGGCTGTTATTCTTACCTACAAATGGACGTGTTACCCGTTCACCTTATTAGGGTACTTGCGGTTAAATGTTCTCCCATTGGGATGGTGATGTATGATGCACAACTGTGAGCCCATCTGAGTCCAGTACATTGGTGCGAACATTCCGCAGTTGTTAACGCTCAGACTGACTACAACCTCAATAACCAGACGCATGAATACAGGTCACCATGCACTCTAGGAGTTTTCCTTCCTAGGTGTCAGTATCAACACACAATGACGAGCTCAAATGCATGGAAACACTTTCGTTCTTCGCGAACGACAGTGCTTTGCAATCTCAATCACCAGGGCCACACAATCCACGCATACCTAGTGTCCGACCAGAGTACCAATCGTATTGGAAGTGACCTCGAATAGTTATCAAGCGTCCATGTGAGTGTTGCTTATTTGCAATGTCCGCATCACATAGGCCCTCCTCTATATGCCCAGTTGAAAGGCCACAAACGTGTAGGGGTGTGTATGAGTGTGTATGACGGATTCATAGGCACACTAATAAATCCCTTAGATTGGTCGCCCATCCTCAAGCATACCCATCTTAAAGGCCAGTGGTAATGGTGACGTCGTTAGCGTACATGGGTTCCGTTAACTCCTGGGTACCAAGCGGTTGCTTCTCATAATATTCTACACTCGTTCGTACATTGTCTTGAACAATTGAGTGTAGTGATCAACAATTATCTCTGGAATTCATGTACTCTACAACACTTCCTCGCTTTGGAATGCAGTTTGGAATGTCGGTGTTCAAGCCCCAACAACTTTTGTTGCAGTTGTCCATACGTTGGCTCGTCCGTGTAAGCTGAGTAATCCTGGCAAGTCAGGGACTAGCGGTTGACATGTTGATGTCGATGCTACATGTTCTGTTTCATATATTAGTCACAATAATGAGTGTAGCTATATTTCCAGCTGATCATTGCTCATATTGAAGTTAGGATAAGTCAGCTACTATCGAGATAAGGGGCGGAAGAGCAAACGTTCCTTCTACAATTTAAATTAGAAATGACCACTCATCTAGGTTGACTTAAAAGTAGATTAGTCCAGCTATGGTATTACGGCAGTGTTTAAATAAATATTTAATTGAAAACTAATTTCGGCACAGAAACAATTGATTTATTGCGAAGAATAGTTGCAACCCAGATGTATGCTGACGGTTTGTTAGCAAATTGTAAGTGGTAAACTTATGATGAGAAATCCAGTTCGCATGGGAATATCATACGTTCAGCTAACCACCTTATCTGCGCCACCTGCCGAGGCTCTTGATACCCATTATTTGTCTACATAAGATTAACTATGCAATGCTCAGTTTTCATTGCAAATCACACCATGGGTATGGAAAATTAACTGGTGCATTGCTTTCTCAGTCAGGTCTAAGTGGTTCCATTCCAAATCGCGTTGTGAGGATATCATCGTGCCCAGGTGTCCCACGACATACTCATTTCAGAGATATTAGATAATTAAATGTTGTGCAAGGTACTTCTTGTAAGTTTGCTAAAAACGTTTGCACACCCTCTCAAAAGCCGATGATAGAACAGGGAGAAGCGGACTTTTCCACATGTGCATTTAGTACATTTAGTTGTGCATTATTCTACCTGGTAACCATACTCACGGCATTTGCTTCCGTATTTCCATATCTGTCTCAAGCTATTGTTGATACCCACACTTCTGACTAAACTTAGTGCTGTCGTTTCGGTTCTCATTCAAACGCTAACTAACCACTGACAGTCGTATTGGTTACCTATTATTCTACGTGCGATTTTCGAAAACTAGAGCAATATGACTGTTCTTTCATTCAATCCAAACTCATGCACGTACGTTGTACTATTGTTCATGACGGTTAGTATTTCTTTATCCAGTTTGTGGTAGTCCATACACAAGTGTGAACAAATGCCCGTTTGCAACATTGCAGTACCGTAACGCGAACCTTGAATGACTAAGTGGAAGCCATTTAGAAACAGTTGTAAGCACCACACTTCAGCCTGACAGACTGATGGCATCGTCACTCGCGTAACACCATTATCTGCTGACTCGATGTCTAAATGGGACTCGGCTAAAGTACAACTCGCACTAACATCTGTTCGTGTCTCGATACATTCTCACTTGACAGATGGATCTTATTACATTTCTTCTCATGTGACACCGTGACTTATTAGGGGTTGCAATATGAGGTCGATGTATCCTATCTCAAGTGTCTCTATACGCCCCCATTGTACTGCGGCCGCCTTCAGGTAAACGCACTGAGATTCAGACAAGTCATCAGGATTGATTCCCGGAACCGGAACAGCGGCAATACATTATGCCATCCGAATCAAAATGCATGGACATAGGTAGTATACTAGACACTGATGGGTTGGTCAAGATATGCTAGTGGTCAGAACGAATGACCAGGGGAAATAAGTAGTAACACATGACAGACTGCCTGGTGGTTCTAACTGCCTGTTGGTTCTCGCTCACCTCGGACAACAGAAGAGTATAACGGGTTCTGTTTTTATCTTACGACACAGATAGCCTGCAGTGGACATAATCGCATCAATACCATCACACAATTCACTATCAACCTCAACTACCAAAAATCATACATACAACAATACAATCTCCATATACTACACTAATTTACACCATTATAAACACCCATATACAAACACTCCTTATCCCCATATTTTAAAATAACAATCCATAATCCTTCATCTCCTTACCCCACCCAAAAAACTTAACAAACAATTAATACAAATTCTCAACACATATAATCCCAAATAAAATACAAACATCCCCATACTTAACATTACCACACTCTTATAAATACATTAAACCAACCTCTCCATATCACACTTCAAAACAACCACTACAACAATACTTCAACCCCACATAAATCCACCCATTACAACACCATCATACTATCCCTATACCATACCAACTCATTCCTCAACTCTTTTATCTCTAAACCATTAACTACACATCTACAATACATACCATACTCTTTCCCCACCTATAACCCACAAACATACCCCTAATAAACTAAACAACACCAACCCACCCCAACCTATCTTTATAAACCCAAATCTCATAATATCTTCCACCCACACATCCTTTATTTTATTTTTTTTTAACCCTTTTTTTTTTTCCCCCTTTTCCCCCCCCCCCCCCTTCCCCCCCCCCCCATTTTATCCCCCATTTCCAACGTGTGGTTTGTAAAGTTGGGCCCCCTCCGGGTTTGTGTGGGGGGTGTGTCCCCCCCCCCACTTGGCGGGGGGCGGAAACTTGGGACTTAGATGAGATAAAAATGATATCGCAACTCTCAGACAGAACACCTACAATAACATTTGACCTGATACGAGAGC